GGCTCAAGAACATTCCAGGGACTAAAGGAAATAAGAAAGCCACAGCCTTGGCTGGAGGTGAGAGAGGCAGGGTGGGCCTTAGCTTCCTGGGGAAGCACATTTGGCCTTTCTCACATAGAACGTGTGTCTGTGGGTATCCTTTACCAGGGAGAGGAATCTGTCATTTCTAGGTGGTTGAGGGTTTTTAATTGGAAACAGATGCCAGATTTTCCCAAGTGATTTTTCTATACCCATTGAGATGCTTATAATTTTCCTTTTTTAGTTTACTAAGGTGGGAAAATTGTGCATTTTCTACTGTTAAACTAACGTTGCATTCCTCAGGTAAACCTTGATATAGTTACTCTTAGATAGTATAAGCTAAAATGTTGCTTTAAATTTTACATCTGTGTTCAGGAGGGCTATGCTCTGCGGGGTGTCTGGGACCTTTATGTTTCTTCCCATAAGCTCTCTGTTTTGCTATAGGTAGGGCAATAGTGACCTCATAGAATGACTCAAGAAGGATTCATTTTTTTAAGTTTCCTGAAAGAAGGATTTACACAGACTTCATATTTCTCCATTAAGGAATTTTCTCTATAGGAAATTTTAACAAAAACTCAGTTCACTTAATGGGTACAGAGATATTCTGGTATTTTTTTCATTTTTAGCATAAAGTTTTCCTAATATATCTGTTGTCCTCTTATTACCCATAGACTCTATTTTTCTAATAATGGTAATCTCTGTGCTTTTCTTTTGATCAATCTGGATGAAATTTGATACATTTCACTGACTTTTCTCAAAGAACAAACTTTTGATTATCTTGTCTATTTAGGGTTCTGCTTTTCCTAGACTATTGATATCTGCTCTGGTCTTTATTAATGCCTTTCTAATTTCTTAAAGTTGAAATGCTGAGCTCCATGGAAGATGCCCGTGAATTGGTTGTGGCTATTAAACCTGCCAGTCCAAGTTTTAAAAGAAGTTGGTTGGTATATGCCAACCAGCCTTCCAACACCATTGCATACAGACCTGAGGGAGGCCTAACACCACGCCATCCACCAAGCTTTGCTTTTGTTAGGATTTCAAAATTGCTTTCCAGCAAGCTAGAAGCAGGTGTGAAACATATACAAAGCAATAATGGAAATGGAGAGGAAAATCTATTGGGCCACCAGAGAACACACCAGGCAAACATCCACAGTGGTCTGCACTGCAGTCAGCTCTCAGACTGTTCTGCCATCATTCTAGCCTTGCAAAATGCTTCATGTTCCAGGGCTGAGATAATTCCACTCCTCTGTGTGGCCCAGCTCTGGGGACTGGAAGCTGAACGACTTCTGATACAGCCCAACCCGAGGCATTGCTGCAGCCCCGGCCTAGGACACAGCCCGGCCACCCTGGGCCCTCTCAGGGGGTTCTCGGCAGTTCCTTGTCACATTGTGGTCGCATTCACATACTTCACACACATTACATCTGATCTAGAAGGTGGTGACCAGAGGACTGCATAGCACTAAATACCAGGCCACAGGGCCAACCCTGATCTGAACCAATATTCCAGACTCCAGGTCACTCCGGAACCTCACTCCAGAACCCTACAATGCTAGTTATTCCTGAGCTGCTTCCATTCCTGCAGCAGGACTCGGATCAGAGCTCCTGTTTCTTTAAAATACAAAACATGAGGTCCCAGTTTGTTCCTTCTTCTTTTCCTTCCTCTACTGGGTACTTATATTACAGAATTCTCCCAACAGCCTCTGAAAGGAGTGTAACCATTCCATGTTACAAACAATAAAGGAATGTGAGTGGCATGTTACATGCATGAAAGAAGTGAACCTATTTCACGTTACGTACAGGAAATGATTGACTGTTCCATGGTATGTACATGAAAGGACCATGATCACTCCTGTTACATGCATGAAAGGGGTGTGCCTGTTCTGTGGTGCATGCATGAAAGGAGTATGACTATCCCATATTACATGTGTGAAGAGTGTGAGTGTCCCATGTTACTTATAGGCAAGCTGAGAAGCAGAACGGCCACTCAGATAGAATCACTTTTTTGAGGAGTTTTGTCATGTTGGAGTGGAACCCAAGACCTCACACACACTATCTCAGTGCTCTACCACTGAGCTACACTAGCCCATATATTTCCAAGATAAAGCTGATGTGCTTGATCTGCTTTCATCCTAGAGGAGAACTGCTAAGGTGTGCAGCCCAACAGCCGTGAGTGTGGACACACACAGCCCCTGCCAGCCCAACAGCCGTGAGTGTGGACACACACAACCCCTGCCAGCCCAACAGCCGTGAGTGTGGACACACACAGCCCCTGCCAGCCCAACAGCTGTGAGTGTGGACACACACAACCCCTGCCAGCCCAACAGCCGTGAGTGTGGACACACACAGCCCCTGCCAGCCCTACAGCCGTGAGTGTGGACACACACAGCCCCTGCCAGCCCAACAGCCCTGAGTGTGGACACACACAGCCCCTGCCAGCCCAACAGCCCTGAGTGTGGACACACACAGCCCCTGCCAGCCCAACAGCCCTGAGTGTGGACACACACAGCCCCTGCCAGCCCAACAGCCGTGAGTGTGGACACACACAGCCCCTGCCAGCCCAACAGCCGTGAGTGCGAACACACAGCCCCTGCCAGCCCAACAGCTGTGAGTGTGGACACACACAACCCCTGCCAGCCCAACAGCCGTGAGTGTGGACACACACAGCCCCTGCCAGCCCAACAGCCCTGAGTGTGGACACACACAGCCCCTGCCAGCCCAACAGCCGTGAGTGTGGACACACACAGCCCCTGCCAGCCCAACAGGCGCAAGTGCGAACACACAGCCCCTGCCAGCTAGCAGATTGCTCCTCAGGAAGAACTGAGGAAATAAACATTGTCCTGGTCCATGAAGGCACTTTCAAAGAATTGCTTGTTACCATGACACCATTCCTTGGTGATTGTATAGGTTTTAACCCATTCCGATTAAATGACATAGCACCTGCTTCAAAGAGAAAGGTCTTATAGTTGGCCCCATGGCACAGATGTCCCACAGAATGCACCATGAGCCACTTCCCTGGCACAGACCACACTCTGCCTCTGAGAGAACACATCTGGACCCCGCAATGTGCTGCGGAAGATCACAGGTGTGAGACTACCAACATGCTCACTGCTCCCCTGTCCGCACCCCTCCTCGCCTGCCTCAGGTAGTGCCCTGTGTTTACATGAGAGGCTGCTCATGGCCCCATGCTACCCCATTAGAGGTAGCAGGAAGGATGTGGTGCCACACCCTTTCTCCACACATCTGGGCAAGTCTTCCCTAAATAGCTTCCATGATCAGCTCCTGGGATATTTGCAAGAACTGAGCAAATGTAGTGTGTAAACCACAGAGCACAGGCCAAACTTTAGTTCTTTTATTTCTAGTTTCCCTAGGAGAAACTAGGGAGGAAGTACCCCACTGTCCAATAAAGCTGGGGGGGAGGGCGCATGTAACACAGCAGAGGGTAGAACAGGAATGTTGAACACTGAGATTATGGACTGGGCAGGCCCAGGGCAATGCACAATGGGCCTGTATCACAGCTCACAGTACAAGTTCAGGACTATTCCACAAGCATAGCTGAAGAGCAGCTGCAGTGAAGGGAGGTATGGGGTTTTCAATTCCAGCAAGAATAGCACAAGACAGGGCAAGCAGGAGACACAGCAGCATGTGACAGGACAGTAAACTCTGATAGTAAGCAATAGAGGGAAAGAAGCAGGATGTAAGGGTAAAGAGTAAAAGAAGGGGGCATTAGCCATGTTCCTATCCCACGGAAGAGTCCACACCCCAGGCTTTGGAATCACATGATAATTCAAATGAATGCTAGACCCTATAGCTGTGTCAAAGCAATGTGCAAGCAATTGCACAGCCTGATCCCCACAGACCTGAGGGCCCACCATAAATCACTGTGCTTGTAAAGGCAACGCAGCATTAAAAACACATGCTGAGCAGGCTACTGTATGCAAAGCAACGGAAGTAGTTTATAAGGAGTTCATGTGCTCAGACACAAGCATGTTGATAATCTGCACATGAAATTGTACCTGCTTCCCCCCTCTCCCCGCCCCCTCTCTCTCTCTCACACACACACACACAAGGCAAGGAAAGCTGAAGAACGTTACTATAATACCACAAACAAACTACTGCTCTAACAACTGCTCTAACAAGAAAGTTGGGGTATAGACAGCCCAAAGGAACATCTTTTCAAAGAAGCATTTTTTTTACTACTACCTCAACTTGGAAAGAACAGCAGAAGGTAAATAGGTCTGAAGGCAGGACTTGTAGAATGACTAAACCTGCCCAAAAGCAAAGATGAAACTAGACCAAGGCATCGTGAACACTACATAAAGAGTCTTCAATCCTACCAAAGGCATATAACACATTGAGAAGCACTGATCCATAAAAGCACACTTGGTCTTCATAAGAATTGGGAGGACGGCAGGATTCCAGCCTGTGGATGTTCTCATTGCTCCCAGACACCCAAGTGCTTTCTGGGCAGGGCTCAAAGGAAGATAAGAAGCCCACTGTCCGCAGCAAGAGCTGGGTCTTGAAAGCCGTGTGTCGGCAGGGGTCCCAGCTCCGAGCCCTGCAGTGTCCCACTGCACACTCCACTCTGTTCCTGTGGCCCGTGGGTCCCAAGCATCCCAACCTGCTACCTTAGTGTGCTTGCGACCAAGAGCTGCAAGGAGCTGCCAAAGGATCAGGGGGGAAATTACAAGATGAACATGTATGCCAAAAATAACTATGTAATAAATACATTTTCAAAGAAGAAATGGCAAGATATTATCTAATCACTGACCCCCTGCGTCTAGCAGTGAGTCCCCACAACACAGGGAAACAAGAAAACACGTGGTACGAAAGTTTCCTCACAACTGCTTTCCAGAACATTCCCTCAGACAAAAAAAAACCACTTCCTCTCAGAAAAATGCTCCAAGCATTCTTAGAAAGGCTTTGCTTTTCCTCAGAAACCAAGAGAAGCCTGGGCAGCCTGGCCCTCGGCAGAGGGGACTCACCTTTAGGGGGCTGAGGTCTCCCGCCTTGCTGCCCTCAGCAGGGTTCCCAGGTCTGCTCTCCACTCTGGGCCGGATGACCTGACGGAAAGGACTGGACAGGGGAAAGCCGCTCACGCTGATTCCATCTAGGAAAGAGGACAGAAAACTTGGGTAAGACCTAAGCTCATTTCTTTTTGTTTTCGTAGTGTGCGTGTGTGTGTGTGTGTGTGTGTGTGTGTGTGTATACGTGCGTGCGTGCGCACGTGTGTGTGAGTGTGCACATACAAATGGCAGAACTGGGACTTGACCTCAGGACCTCATGCTTTCCCTCAGCTTTCCTGGTCATGGATGATGCCCTTTCATTTGAGTTTTCTTTTTTTTTTTTTTTTTGTCAGTCATGGGGCTTGAACTCTGGGCCTGGGTGCTGTCCTTCAGCTCTTCAGCTCAAGGCGAGCGCTCTACCACTTGAGCTACAGCGCCACCTCCGGTTTTCTGGTGGTTTATTGGAGATAGGAGTCTCACAGTCTTTTCTGCCCGGGCTGGCTTTGAACCGCGATCCTCAGATCTCAGCCTCCTGAGTAGCTAGGATTACAGGCGTGAGCCACCAGCGCCCAGCTGCCCTTTCATTTGAGCCACACCATCAGTCCAGAATTTTTCTGGTTAGTTGGAGCTGGAATCTCACAGACTTTCCCTATTTAGGCTGACTTCAAACCTCGATGCTGCAAGCCTCAGCTTCCTGAGTAAGTAGAATTACAGATGTGAGCCACTGAAACAGATGTAAGCCACCGAAACCGGGCTTCCGTGTCTTTTAACATGAGGATTTTGTGTGGGGGGGGGGTTGAGTATTTCTTTTTTTTTTATTGTGAAAATACTGTGCAGAGGGGTTACAATTACATGGGCAAGATAATGAGTACATTTCTTATCAAGCATTAGCCTCCTCCTTTGTTTCCCCTTCCCATCCCTTCCCCACCACCCCCATCCAATCCTCCCCGTCCCCCCCCCCACCGCATCAAAGTCGTAAAGTTCGTTTTTGATATAACGACTTGTATACCTCATTGCTGCAATAGGTCCACCTGTATCCCTATTTAAACGATTGAGGATTTTGTGTTTTGCCTCTGTGTCACATCATCGCGTCTTGCGTCCACGACTATGTGGATCTTCCCACAGTAGCAGGCAGCAAGTACAACATTGTTCATAGGAACAATGGCTTGTCTGGGACAACCCAGCCATAGCACCTTGGAAGCCCCCAGGCCTTCATACAAGCTGCTCTCTGGACAGGGAAGGCTCTCCCTCCCTTCGAGTAACTGTGCCATCTCACCTCTCCGCCATGGTCTCAATGGTACCCTACCTTTCCTTCCGAGTTCAACATGCTGCTCCTCTCTACCACTGGATATACCCAGCTCTCCAAGGAACATGGCTGCCTCGTGACCTGTTGGCCGACTGCTTGGACTCAAGACTCACCTTCAAATCCTCCCTTTATCTCATTTCAACTCATGTCCAGCTCAAGCTCTCTGGAGGTATCCCGCATTGGCTCTCATGGTCTGAATCACTGTCACACACGCACACCCCAGCCACTCTCCCATCAGCACTGCTCTCTGACCATCTTCTGTCCACACAAATAGGCAAAGCGGTCTGCCGAAACACACCTCAAACTACAACCTCCCATGATGCCACTGAAGAGGAGAGACCAAAGTTTACATGGGTCTCTAAGACCATGGCAGGCTCTGACACCAGCCGCTCTCCATTCCCAGCTAACCAGAAAAGAGACCTAAGAAGAACCCATGAGTTACTAGACTATAACTGGATCATGGTTCAGAATAATTGTTTGTCTCCAACATGTTACTTTCAAGCAGCTAAAATTTTCTGACAGACGCAAACTATCAGATAAATGGGTACACGTGCCAAGTATGGCAGACAGTGCAAGCCAGGCTGAGAGAGCAAACACCCAAAAGAAACCTGGACAAGAGCTGAAAAGATAATACAAATCATAGGAAACAAGACTGGCTCTTATCTGTATGGTACTCTATAGTTTATACAAATGGCCTCATTTTAAAGAACAAAAAGTAGGCCTGGTGCCAGTGGCTCATGCCAATAATCCTAGCTACTCAAGGGGCTGAGGCCTGAGGATCAAGTTTCAAAGCCAGCCCAGGCAGGAAAGTCCATGAGACTCCTATCTCCAATAAACCACCAGAAAACCAGAAGTGGCACTGTGTTTCAAGTGGTAGAGTGCTTGCTTTGAGCCGAAGAGCCCAGAGACAGCACCCAGGCCCAGAGTTCAAGCCCTACAACTGACAAAAAAAAAAAAAGAACAAAAAGTAACCTGTCTACAATAAGTGATCTAAAGTATAATACCAGGTATGAATAACTATTTAATTAAATGGATGGATAGATGGATAGGGTCGGTGGGTAGGCATATGAATGAATTCACAGAGGGAATTTGGGGTAGCAGGATGAATGGATAGACAGATGGGTGGTAGAAGGATGGACAGATGGATGATGAGTGGGGGTGAAGTGTAGAGGGTAGAGAGAAGCAGAGCTGGGCTCCGGTGGTTCACACCTATAATCCTAGCTACTCAGGAGGCTGAAATCTGAAGATCGAGGTCCAAAGCCAGCCCAATCAATAAAGTCCATGAGACTCTTATCTCCAATTAACCACCAGAAAACCAGAAGTGGAGCTGTGGCTCAAGTGGTAGAGCACTAGCCTTGAGCTGAAGAGCTGAAGGACAGCACCCAGGCCCAGAGTTCAAGCCCCACAACTGAGGGTGTGGAGCAGATCTGAAATTCAAAACTGATGCATTCAATTTCCAATCCTTTTCCCTATAAAACAGGTGTGGAATAAGAAAATATAAGCTTCTACACATCCCAAGCAAAACACATTTAAGTAACTTATTAATAAAGTTTCTGGGGATAAGATGAAGAGCTTTTAATTTTAATTGATGCAAAACACATCATTTCTAAATTACCAATCACTGAGACCCAGGCAAGGCCTTGTGCCTGAAACATTTTTACAGAAACTTATAATTAACCAAGCATATGTTCAAAACCACTTCAGATACCCTTGGAATATATTTTGGAATTATTCACCTTATTCTCAAAATAGCATTATGAGCCAACTATTGAGCATCTATAAGAAAAATAAACCAAAGCAATGCATGAAGATGAATTAAAAGTGCACGGGAAGTTCATTTGGTACTTTCAAAGAAAAGGTGCAGACAAGCCCTCAAGTATCAAGTGCAAGCAACAGCAACATGTTTGGTGTTCAATGATTCAGGCTACCTCAGCCATGGAGAGCAGCTAGAAAACATGGTCAAAGACATCTCAAATTCTGCTCAAGCATTACAATACTAACAAGGCAGCAGGGAACTATGGGGCTTCCCAGATACAAGGAAAAATACTGAGATATGAACTTGGCATAAAACTTCTGCTACTACTATCTCCTGATTGCAGGAGTTAACAAAGAGGCTGAGGCTGAGCAAAGCTTTTGATGTGTTCAAGGTATGGAAAAACAATACCTTTGATAGTGGAGAATGAAGGCTAGAAGATGGATAGTCTTAAAGGCTGGGATCCCAAAGAACAATATATCCAGTGAAGATGTGACCAGACATGAACTGTTCTCACAGACACTGGAGGTCAGCTTTGAACCAAGTCAGTCCCAGGCTCTAGTTACACAATTTTTCTGCCAAAATTACCAAATTATACCATATTCTTATTATTCCAATTACTATCTTACTAATCCAATTATTACCATATTCTACCAAAATTACCAAAATATACTCTTTCCACTCCCTATCCTACCCATATTCTTCTTTTTTGATGACTATCTTTGTACACACTAATATTCCTAAATCTCCATTTCAGTTCAGATCTTTACCACTTCCAATCTGTAATACATCCTGAGGCACACTAACTAAAAGCAGTTCTTCCTTGAGTTCTCCCTGAGTTCCAGCACCTTCCCATCCTGAGATCCATCCTAATCCATATCATTACCCTATACAAAGACAGAGGTTAAGTATAGAGAAGCAACTCAGGGGACTCCATATATGCCATTAAAAATACCTGTAAGCTGGGAACCAGTGGCTCATGCCTATATTCTTAGCTACTCAGGAGGCTGAGATCTGAGGATTGTGGTTCAAAGCCATCCCAGGCAGGAAAGTCTGTGAGACTCCTATCTTCAATTAACCATCAAAACCAGAAGTGGTGTTGTGGCTCAAGTGGTAGAGTGCTTGCCTTGAGCTGAAGAGCTCAAGGACAGTGCCCAGGCCCAGAGTTCAAGCCCCATGACCAACAACAACAACAACAAAAATGCCTTTGGAAGCCAAACACTGACCACTCACAGCTGTAATCCTTGCTACTCAGAAGGCTGAGATCTGAGGATTGCAGTTCAAAGCAGCCCAGGAAAGAAAGTCTGTGAGACCCTTATCTCCAATTAACCACCAAAAATAGCTGGAACTGGAGCTATGGCTCAAGTGTAGAACACTAGCCATGAGCAAAAAAGCTCAAGGACAGCACCCAGGCTCTGAGTTCAAGCCCCAAGACCAACACAAAAGGAAAACAATTTTAAAAGAATAAAAGACAATCCCTCAGCCTTAACATGAACAAGGTTGGACAGGGGTCTGGGCAGCTCAGAAGAGTAGTCAGAAATCAGATAGAAAACACTGGCTGAGCAAGAAAGCAACTCACTAGGAATACCTGTGGAGGAACCCTCTCCAGCCAGAGTGCAGGGATGAAATTATATTCAGACATTCCACCCATTTTTCTGCCAACACAGGCTATCACAAATAGAATGGAGAACAGATTGGCCTAACATCCTAAAGACAGGACCAAAAAAGTTAAAAACAGATGAAGTCAGCTTAGTAAAAGAACCAAAGAATTCAGCGAACTCTTCAGGACAGAGAGTATATGAAAATGGTGTGATTCCAGCAGACGTCAGGAATAAAAGTGAGTTTGTAAAGAGAATTCAACAGCTACCACTTACAGTGTTCAATTTTCTATTAACAGCATTTCTGTGGACAATTCATAGGTATAATTTTATGTACTGAAATAATACTTTCAAATTTAGTTTGAATATCATAATCATAATGACAACTGCAAAAACTGACAGCTGAACACAGGAATGCGCCACGGGAAGCAGAAGCAGACACAGAAA